ATCTCCCTTTGGTAGTTTGTCACAGCAGTGGTAAAATTATACATGTGTACATTTTGTTACTTTCTGAGAATGGATAGGAAAGGAGAAAGCATGGAGGACAGAAAAGTAACCTGTGCTAGTCTAGTCCAACACATGGGTCACACATATAGTTGAGAATACAGCTAAATACACAGTTGTAAACTTACTGAAAACATTAGGAGACAATTTTTTAAAAATGTAACTTAGTTGAGCAAAAGTTTGGGTGAGGATCTTAATTTCATGTCACACTATCAAGAGATACTGTGGTAGAAGTGAATTTAGTGTTTATAATGAAGTGAATTTAGTGTTTATAATCATATTAGAAAGAGACATCCTATACATGGCCAGAAATTAGCAAGAAAGGAAGGTCATTATTCCCTCTCCCTCAAATGAAGTCTGACATGGCTGAGGAAAATATACCGAACAAGTTTATGGATTGATGGTCCATTGCAAATGAATATGCAATAAGGAAATGTATTTGATAATCTACTTATTGTATATAAATTTCATCTTTAATAATCTATGCTATAACTGTTATGCATTTCTATTTTATAATGTTATCATTTGTATACAATAAAAATATTAGCAAATAAATGTCCTTATCACATAATTAGTCCTGGTTTAGTGTGGAGTTTACTGTTATACAAAAAGAGAGTTGATTCACAATAATTAAATTGACATTTTAGAGGTGCTGCTATCTAACCATGTGAATGAGCTACACCCAGGTCTTTGTTCTTCAAGGCACCACGCCTGCCTTAAAACAAACAGTCATGTCTCTGATCATGCCAAGAGAAATGGTTATGAGTAATGAGTCTCAAATGCTTAGTTAATGAAAAACATTTAAGCACAACCATTCATTTGTGTTGTGATCTTTGGCCAGCTCAGGAAACTCCTCTGAGTCTCAGGTTGTTCATCTAGAGCAGTGGTTCTCAAGCTCTAAGCCATAACCCCTTTGGCAAAGCTCCATCTCCAAAAAATATTTACATTACAATTCATAGCACCAGCAAAATTACAGTTATGAATTAGCAATAAAAATAATTTTATGGTGGAAGTCACGACAGCATGAGGAAATGTATTAAAGGTTTGCATCATCAGGAAAGTTGAGAAGCACTGATCGAGGGAATTGTAATAAGATAAAATCTGGGATGAGAAGATAACTCAGTAAGTAAAAAAAAATCTGCTATGTAAGCATGAGCATCTGTGGTCAGGTTCGCAGAACCACCCTAAGAAGCCAGGCATGGTAGTATATACCCCCAACCCAGGGCTGGGAGGCAAAGTCAGGTGGCTCCCTGTGCTTATTGCAGTCACCCTCACCATCTGTGAACTCCTATAAGAAGCTCTATCTCAAATACAAAAGTAGAGAGCAATTGACAAAAACACTCAGCATCAACCTCTGGACTACACAGACACATATGTGGACAAGCACACCTTCACATACTGGAACACACAGACACACAGACACACACAAATTGTATCCTCATGGACATTAAACTGAAAGGAAATAACATCCTCTTTGAATGTTCCCTTCAACCCCTTACATAGAATCTATCTCATGCAATGCTATCATACAATTTAGAAATCATTAATTTATTTGATTGCCAACTCTGTCAATGCTACGTTATGAACTGAGCCATTTACCTGTGACATCCCGGCAAGGATTTAACTGTAGCTGTACCCCTTTGCTGGCTAGCTGTTTGATATCATTTGCTGGAGACACAAACAGGAGGAATCTGCAGGATAATAGTCTTAGTCACATGCCCTACTTTAGACAAACCAAAAATAATCTCATGTCCATGTCCACTGCCTTACTGACAGTTGACAGAGTAGTACAGTGAAAATTGATCATAATTTATTTTTGCAATAGAAATAGATATTCATATATATATTCTTTCTGCTGCATTTAGCATCACATTTTATGTACCACTATAGTGTGTTATCTGGAAACACAGTCTCCCCTGTGAAATAAGCAAAGTTATTTATTGCATCGCTGGTAAAGCTTTCTGATTTAAATGATAATGTTTAAGATTAGCTTTGGAAATACATTTGCAGTTTTGAAGAGCACAGTTTCATATTTCAGGGTCAAACTCAACAACAGATTTCAATAGTTCTGTCTTTTACTGATCATCCAACTGTGAGAATATTAGCAAAAGAGCCCCACATGCACTTGCGGCTTGACTTCCCTCGTTTCCTGTGTAGATCTGAGTGTGGCCTTCTGACAGCACATATGTGTCCTTTCAGATATAAATAAAAACCGAAGTGCTCACACTTATCCATATTCCAGAGCATTCATTTTTACTGAGCATCCTCTAAACTGATTCTAGGTTAAATGTTCTATTCATTTAAAAACAGTTTGTTGCCATCAAACTGTTTCCTCTATTTCAAGAAGGAGGCACACGTTCCTTCTTGTCTTTTGTTTTTCCTGAAAGCAATGGAGGTGAGATCCAGGTACTGAGCATGCTAGACAATCACTCTTCCGCTGAGATATACCCAAATTCCTGTCTTATTTAGATAGTGTCACTGCAGAGCTCAGACTAATCTCAAACCTGTGATCCTCCTTCCTCAGCTTTCAAAGTGATGGAATTATAGGCTTGCACCATTGTGCCCTGTCATATTCTATTCTTGATTAAATATTTGACAACTGTAGAATTTGTTCTTGGCATTTTATTCCTCCAGGTAGAGATAAATGTATGAACTTTGACCTCAGCCTATTCAGCATAATGGGCTGAATTGATGTGTTTCTTTACATCCCAGCAAAGTTGCAGGACACGCTTACACTTCTTATCTATTTTGCATTCACATAAAATTATTATGCATTTTGGAGGCTAAAATAAACATTAGCAAAAGAGACAGAAGTTTTCATCTGATTCAAGCTTAAAATTGTTCATTCCCAGACGAGTCTATCAGCACAAAAGGTTGTGACCTGAGATTAATAAAAGGAAAAAGGGTTTTGAGTTTCTTTGTATTCTAATCCTGGCTGCTAATAAATATTTTAACTGCATTTCCCAAATGGAGCATTATGCCACTTTCAAAGGTATTTTAATTAGTTATCAAAAGCAGGAATTAATTATGTAAACTTTCTACTTAGAATGTTTAGGAGGAGAAAAACTGTCTCTCTTAGTGAGAGTAGTCCTGACTTGTCATTGTGGTTCCACCTTTAAGACAGGTTTTTAATTTCTTTCAGCAAATGTTTGCACATCTGAAAAATGGGAATACCATCTCTCATAAGCATCAAATAGAACTCACCATTAGGGTGGGAGAGAGCAAGGGAGGGAGGGAGGGAGAGGGAACTGGGATTGATATGTAAAATAAGGAAAAAACAAAACAAAACAAAAACTCACAATTCTTTTCCATATGCTAGAGACAAAGTATAGCATATCCTAGTGGTGGATACTGGAATCACAGCTCTATGTGAAACAGAAAACCTATCCTCAGGGAGATCAAACCCAGCCAACAACGAGCAATTTTTCAAGCCAAAAGTAAATGTTACTATAGTGATAAAATTGCATTGGAGCAAATTAAGTCAGGAGACAGGCAGGTGTGAGAGACAGCAGAGACAGTTTAGTGAGGTGGCCCAAGAGAAGGCTGTGGCACAAGGCAGACAAGAGCAGCCCAGGTCTGAAAGAACCCTGTATCTTTGGACATTTGGTCTACCAACACCAGATGCAGGGGGGGTGCAAAATTAAAGAGGGGGCTGATGGGTAAGAGGGCTGAGGAGTGAGGTAGGGCTCCTGCAATCCTATGAAGACTGGCCAGCCACACTAAGGAACAGGGAGCTGCTGGTGAGTCAAGGTTAATTTTCAAGAGATTTTCCTAGGCGTTTTGGGGAGCTATATGAACAAACTTTTAATCTTCAGCTTTGCAGTATATAGAGACAGACAGAAAGTAGATTCCAGAAGGGCCACTATTTCTGGCCTTAAGCAACTGGAAGGCAATGATCCCTTGCACTGATCCAAGAAGGTGAGGGAAGAGGTAAATTGGAGGATAGCATTTATGGGTGCTGTCTGAGGTGTGTTGAATTTGATATGTTAATGTTGGCAGTCTAGTTGAATACATACAGGACATAAATTGCTTGTAAATGTTCTTAGGCTTCTATCTGTTTCAGAAATATTTTCTATATTTTTCACAAGGCAAATCATCTCTGTGGTTCACGTCTTCAAAGTTACTGAGGGAGATTTCTTTGAAGATTCTCTAAAGTTATTTTCCTTGTTGACATCTCTCCTGGACTATAGCTGCCATCCAGCAATCCCTTAAGTCTCTAGTGTATCTCTCTGACTCTTCTTTCTTTTCCAGATGATAAGATGCATCAAGTCTTAACAAGACAATAGCACAGGTTAGCCCATCCACACAGTACAGCGGTTCACTGTGCTATATTTAAGTACTTCATTTGTAAGAGCATGTAAAAATTACCTGGATCAAGATTTAGGAAGCCAGAGAAGCAAAATCCCTGCCTATTTTTGTAAATAAAGTTTTATAAAATTAGAATTATATGCTTTCTTTAGGTATTGTGTATATGTGACAGAGTTCACACTAAAAAACAGAACTAAGAAGTTGCAATAGAAAAACTTCATAGCATACTAGGCCTTAAAGAGAAAAGTACAAGCCAGGCAGAAGTTACAAGGCAGGTAGATCTCTATAAATTCAAAACCAGCCTGGTCAACAAAACAAGTTCTAGGACAGCCAAGATGACAGAGAAACACTGTTGTGAAGGAAAAAAAAAAGCAGAGGTTATAAATATAACAATTTGTACCTATGAAGATACCATGAGTAATCTGTTGTTTTAAAAGTAAGGAAAAGGGAGAGATGAAAAAGTTAATTAATTCTGAGATTTTTTTTTGAAATCATAAATCACCATGGTTCTATAATTTGAGGGACAAATGTATCCAAAATAACCAGATGTCTATAAAACTTACATTTTAAACAACTGCAAAAGCAGATATTGCATTCAACATTTAATTTTAATGTTTTTATTTTTCTCTTGAAAGCTGAAAATCAGAGTTCAATCAAAACAACAGAAATGTCAGGTAAGTTCATTTTGTATTCTCTGAGTACAGGAGGGTATGGGAACTGGGATTGACATGTACAACAAACTTGTTTCATTTTTAAATTTAAAAAAATATATTAAAATAAAGAAATATCCCAAGAATGAGACCAATACAAGAATCTGGTGTTTCTAAAGCAAGAGAAGTCAATATACCACTCAAGGCCATGAGGCAGAAAGATTTTTCTCCTTAGTCTACTCAGGTCTTCAGCTGAATACACTCACAGTGGGGAAGGCAATCGTCTTCATTTTCTCTAACAGTTTAAATATTGTCCTCAACCAAAAGCATCCAATAGTAAGACTTGTCCCAACCTCTGGGTTACATATGGATAACAATTACAGTGGTATCTCAGTTCTCCTGAAATGGTCAGGACAATTTATAAAGATCTCATGGTATCTCCACCCACTTCAAATTTGTGTTTTAGAACTGTGATTACAATGTGGACAGTAATCTTGGTAGAAAAGCAGAAGCAAGAACGGACAACCTATGACCAACCATTAGATCAAACATATGATCAAACCATTATAGAGGAGGAGGGGCCATGCTATATGAGCATGTTCACTGTCTCCCCATCTCCCAGAAGCTATAAAACATGAGATGTGCATCACTCAGTTCAGAGTATTGTCCATTGATTCCCCATCTTTCAGTGACAGAATCTTGACATTTCTGCTCATTGAGGATGCACTCAATGAAAGAACATACCTATTATAAGCTATTTAGAGTCTTAGCTTAGGCATTTATAATATCAAAACAACTGACTGTAGCGCTTGCACTCAAATATTTGCTCTTCAGCCTGCTTAGAGTGTGATCTTGGAAGGATATTTAATTTCTCTGGGCTCCAGTTTTTGCTTTGAAAAAAATATAAGCAATAACTCAATAATAATTGAGAGAGTTACTCTTTGTAAAACACATAGAATAATATCGGATATATAGTGTCCCATATAAATTTGAAGTAAAATCGTAAAATCCTTTTTGACATTTTTATACATATATCGATATGAGTGGGGAAATAACAGTTTAAACCTTTCAGGATTTGAAGAACAAATTTTATTAACCTTATGGATAATTATATGTAAACAAATTGAATAGTCTTACTTAATTTTAATGTTTTTATTTTTCTCTTGAAAGCTGAAAATCAGAGTTCAATCAAAACAACAGAAATGTCAGGTAAGTTCATTTTGTATTCTCTGAGTACAGGAGGGTATGGGAACTGGGATTGACATGTACAACAAACTTGTTTCATTTTTAAATTTAAAAAAATATATTAAAATAAAGAAATATCCCAAGAATGAGACCAATACAAGAATCTGGTGTTTCTAAAGCAAGAGAAGTCAATTTTATTAACGTTATGGATAATTATATGTAAGCAAATTGAATAGTCTTACTTAAAAATCAATCTGTTGGTCCTATGAAAGACTAGAAGGGAAATAGAAATGGTTTTGGAGTGTATTTGACTTACACTGTCTCTCACTTACTCTCAGGCATGTTTGCCTCATCTCCCTGAGCCACAGTATCTCTTATCCTAAAAAAAAAAACACAAGATTAAACATACTTTCTTAGGGATAAAATTACCTGGCACTTATGGAAGTAATGGTATCCTGCTTTGTTTTCTCTTGGATCTCATTCTAAGTTCCTAGCATTTAATAACTCTTTAAACTGGATAAGAAGGGGAAATCCTCCTTCCTCAATATCAACTTCCATAGTTACCTAAACTAAAGAGATCTCAATTCACAAGTATTTCTAGGTAAGAACATGTTATACCTCAGGTTAATCATGTCGATGAGTCAACGCAAAATGATAGACATTTGAGATAAAACTTTGACATTGCTGTAAGAGTAGATAGTTCAGTAACATATGCTCTTAGGAAATTCAAACCAACCACTCCAAGGCAGAAAAATCTCTCCTCTGTTGTCCTATCTATTAACTGGATGGAGAGTTCCACCATGGGTATATATATATATATCATATATATCATATATATATGATAAAGCAAGAAACTATATGACAAGAATCTAAGATATTAAAGCTGGGAGAGCATTCAACGATCCTATCATCTTATTCCCCTCTGCAATTGCACACAGCTATACCAACTGCATGCATAGCATTCATTATCTGAACTAAGTATATTCTAGCTGCCTTTTATAATAAGCCACTTTGTTCCTGATAATTGGAGCCAAGAATAGACTCTATCCTTTCCCTGGATGTCAGAATGCTCAATCCATCCTTGTGGTCAATGTCAGCACTGGCACTTGTGTAAGTTCCTGTAGAATGATTATTCGTCCTTTGCCTTGCTTCGTATTTCCTCATTCTGATTTATTCTCCTATGGTATGCATCATTACTAAAGCTTCTCAAATATTTCCCTGCTGTGAACAGTAGTTTATTCATAAAATTTCATAAAAGGTGGCATAGGCTCACTCATCATGACCCTTGCCATACTTGCATGCTTATTCTTTACCCCTGGTTCACCTGGATCTGCATGGAATGCCTTAGCTGTAGCTTACATTGTACTATTTACTGTTAGATAAAGAAAGGGCCTATGTTCAAGGTCATTATTGAATTAATACAAAAAGAAACAGTGTAACATGTCAGCATGGATGGGGACAATCTCACAAAGCTGTACTCTTTGATAAAGAGCTATATGAAGTGAACGGATGCTCATAGGTGGCAGGTAGAATCAATTTTCCCCAGGGACAAGGTCTCTAATTTGTTATGTAATTCCAAGTGGTCAACACTAAAAATGTACAAACAACACTAAATGGACTCAGCAGACTGTATTTATGTATTTATACACATGTATAGATATAACAATAATTGAAGGGGAAAGACAGTGGAGATAAGACATGAAGGTAAGATGGAGAGCAATACTAGAAAAGCCATCAGATAACAAAGTAAGTGCTAGGTGAAGAGAGAGCTGGGAGGGGCAGCTGAGTGACAGCTTTCTAGCTTGACATTCCTATTTAGGATGTTTTAGAAAGGTCATCAAGGGATTCTCCAGCCCAAATGCATCTTGGGAGGCATTCACAGCTCTCAAGAAGTGATGGGCATGATTGTCCCTTCTGGACTGACACTTGACTTTGATCAGCCTTGGGGCAGTACAGCCTCAGGCCAGCACAAGTCAGACAAGTGGGACACCTCAGCCACCTATGTTTCTATAACTTCAGTCCTTTGAAGATTCTTTATTCAAGCTCAGGACAACAGGTAGACTTAGGAAATCTTCAGGAAAGCATGTGTGTGGTGGCTCATGCCTTTGACCCCAGCACTCTAGATACAGAGGCAAGCAGATCTCAGGGAGTTTGAAGCCAGTCTCCTCTACATAACGAGTCCATGTCAGCCAGGACTACATACTATAGTAAAAACTAGTCTAAAACAACAAAAAGTGCTTCTGTCAGGACCTATGAGGAAAATGTGAATACATTTCAATACAATGGGCTTGGCTTGAAGAAATCTTGCTTCACGGATTGCTCTGAGTTTTGACCTCAAGTTTGTAAACTGCATTTGATTTGTGACACAATACCTCTGGAATTCAATAACCATCACAGTCACAAAAATAAGAACCTAGATGCAAACTGTGTGATCTAAGAGTGACATGTTTTCCAGCTTCTTCTACTTCTGACTGGAGAAAAGAAATCCCTACAAACATGGAAATGTCTGAAAAGTCAATTTCACACAGCTATACTCTGGATTTTGGAGGAAATTAGACAAACTCTCTTTAGTTGGAAAGTTCAACTTTATAAAAGGCATAATCATACATTATAGCAATATCATATAGTATGTATTACATAATAATATATAATTTTAAATAACCATGCTAGGACCAGTTATTTTCTTAGACAATTTATATTTATTCTCACTTAATCTTTACAGCAACAATATAAATTGAAATTATTTCACACCCTTTACATAATAAAGAACAGATGAAAAGATGTTAAATAGTGTGACAAGCCTCCACAGGAAGCAAGCTTTATAGTTAGAGTCTAGCTCTGGCACCAGGCTTTCTGAAACATGTTCTTATCTATTGCATTATTCTTCACCTAAGCCTTTTCTGACCATGATATTTGGGTAGAAATTCATGGTAGCACATTTTCATCACAATGAATGAAGATATCAAACCACACCGTGTGGCCCTCTGTTATAGTCACAGAAAGAATAACAGTGGGCTCACAATTAGTGGGTTTATCCAAGTGCCATAATGTTAGCCAAATTGATCATGCTAAAGATCAATTGTTGTGGAGCACTAACAAAAGTCATCACAAGTATTTTTTAATTAAATAGAAAAATAACAGACATGTAGACAACAAATTACACACAGTTTAGGTAAGTTCCAGTGTGTGTGTGTGTGTGTGTGTGTGTGTGTGTGTGTGTGTGTGTGTGTGTTGAATTCAGAAAAGATTTCTTAAGTAAGAATTCCAGTCAAAAGTAAAACAAAAATAGAAACTTGAAAGTGTTTCAGCAGCAGGAATCATTCACATAAGAAAGGTCAGTGTGGTAATCTTCTGGGTCATGGTTAAGAAGGTTAAGAAGTAACTCCTGGTGCTGGTCGGTCAACACATTTTAACTCAGGAAGCTTAGGTGGTGTCATTTCAATCAGAAACAACCACTCCTAAAGCAACTCTTGCACTGACCGTGAGGAGCAGATGAGGTGGGATATGGAGTCTTGGAAACTGCCTGTTGGTAAATCCCCAAATCACTGGTTATGCAGCCAGCCATCTTGCCCTCTACCAAAACAACCAAAAGACTATTCATCACCGTGCAGCCCTTGACGCTGAAAAACACAACTAACAGCTCTGAGCTTTCAGTTAGCTCCCACTCTTTTACTTAATATTCCCTTTTTTCGCCTGCTTTGTGCACCAGCCTGACATTTCTCTTTGTTCTTATGGGCTTGTATCTAGCTCCCTCCCACAGATCCCTTGCCTGGCAAGCGCAGTGTAGCCGCTCAACATGATTCTTCCCCCACAGAGCACGCAGTCTGTGCTGTGCTGTGGGTGGCACAGGAGGAAAGAGCAGCCATGGCAGCCCCAGAAATATCAATCTCTGGTGCAATTATACAGGGCCTCAGAACTCCTAACGGGTCTTAGCTGAAGGAATGCCTCAGTGTAGCGACCCAGTCGGCCTTGCTTTGGTGCACTCAGGTTGAGGCAGGACATGAGTGGGAGGGATGGGGAGAGTTCAGTCTTGTACTCTGGGAGTTTTGTGGAAAGATGAGCCAGCAACTACGATAAAAGAGAACTTACTGCCACAAGAGACAAAGAATTCATTTTCAGAAATTCTAAGTTACGTCTTTACTTTCATTTCACAGTAAGTGTGACAAAATTATAAAGCATTCAATGTTTGTATTTTCTTCCCTTTATGGACATGTCATGTATTAATATATATATATATATATATATATATATATATATATATATATATAAATTAAGGCATGTTGTCTTATGTTTTAAATTTTTGATAATTTTTATTCATAATAATAATCTGCTTAGTCTTCTGATTGGAATATGGCAAAAGCATTTTCCTTGAAGGAAAAAAGGTCATGGTCAATGGGGGAGAAACAATCAAATAGCCATTTTCCTACAGGAGATGTTCATATAGCTGCAGAGCTTTATGGTGAGAAATCAAGGAGTCTCCATTGCGCCTTCCTTCCCCCCCCACACACTTCTCATCAGAGCCTTTACAATGACCTGTTATCATCAACTATTGGGAAATCCTACAAAACCTAACATTTTCTGCATTTACATCTCTTTTAAGCATGTGTGGTGGACAAAACACAATTTCCCAAAGTAAAAAATATCTGAAATGTGGTTAGTGCTTTTCAGAGATTAACATCTCACATGAACCTTATGCCTTTAGTTCTGTGCCCTGAGGACTAGAGTATGCTCATATGTTCTTGGCCAGTATTGCTCTGGACAATGTAATACTGATATCCACTTTGTATGATGCCAAAGTCAATCATTTTTCCAGAAGAAATACATGAAGTCATATTCAACATTGCCATTTTATATATTCTATTGTGCAGAAATAAAGTGTTTTCCCAGACCTTTCAAAAATACAGACTGTTTAAATCTACAAAGAAATCCAATATGAAGACTTAATACCATAAACTTAGTCTGGGTTTGTGATTTTCCTGTAGTTACCACTCAACGGCCAGATGCCTTGACTAAAACCAACGTGTCACCCTCAGTGTTCCTAACAACTGCAAAAACCGTCTCACAGCTTCAAGGTATGATTTTTGTGTATCTGGATGGAAACTTATTCTACTTTATTGCTCATTATGAAATAAACTCTATCCGTCTTGATTTTCAAAGCATAGCTCTTGCAGAGTGAGGGAAAATTTTGCATTTGTAACATCATAACTATAAATCATGGGTATTTCTTTAAATGAGAGTAAAGGGAAGATTATATGGATTAACGTATTTATCAAAGGTGACGTGTTTGTTTTCTTTCTCAAAATAACAGACACTGAGGATGGGAAGATTGCATATGCTCCATCAACCACCCCCTCTTACTCCAGTGAGTAGCATATGTATCTCCATTTATTGAAATAGGCATGTAGAACATGTAAATAAGAACAATGGAAGGGCAGCCTTTTCCATCTTTACCCAGGCTGCAGTTCCATTATAGTTCAAACTATAAAAATCCCCCACACATTTGATCTTCATTACCACACTGTGGCCATTTTCTTTCTTTCTTTTCTTTTTGTTTTTCGTTTTCACTCTCTTCTTAGTGGTAAGCAATTACCAGAAAGGACAAATAATGGCTTAATGGAACTGTATTCAGCTAAGGCAAAATCACCATACTAATAAATTTTATCCACATCATCGTGCCATTTGCCTTCAACATATCCATCTTCATTTTCCAATTAAATATTCTTAAAGCAATTAAATTGTAAAAACAGCCAGGATTTTTTTTCACCTTGATGAAATTCTGTCATGGCAATGGCAATTAATTTTATTTTAACCTGGACATGTATAAGCAATATACCGCCTTAGAGTTGTGCTGTCTGAATAAAGAATAGCTCAATTGTTCTCTTCGCAATTAACAGTAAGATAAATGTAAAAAAAAAAAAAAAAGCTGCAATTCCAAATGATTATCTTCCGTTTCGGTGAAACCATCTCATTAAATAAGGTATCACAGAAAGAATTGACATTTTCATTTTGAGGAGGAAATAACGTCACCCAATGATCTATTTTAAAGTGTGCTTTAACTTTGACTTGATAGTGAAATGGAAGCTACCTTACTAATAAATTAAAATATTATTGCCCCTTGATAAATAGGTGAGAAGCAGAGAAGCTAGTAGATGGGAACACCTCACTAGTTCTCCCTCTCACTATTATTTTGCTTTAAGTCACTAAACTTTTACCCTTTCAGTGAGTCATCACTGAAAATGCAAAAAGTCCTTCTCGTTAAGCAAAACAGAAAACCTTCTCCTAATTCACAATAGCAGCACACCCCTTGCATGTGTGCACACCTATTTTTAATCACATTGTTAGCCTTTCTAAAATGCTATCCAATCAGTCTACTCATGTTCTTTTACACATTTCCTAGTTTTAAGGGAACATGTTGCAAAGACACAACTTTCAGCCTTAAGATTAGAAGCTGCATCTTTTTAAAGTCACCTCATTATAAAATACAAAAGAATATAATGAATGATTGCAGTTTTAAATTTAATTTAGAGAACTGTTACCTCTAGTCTCCTCTCTCCATGTGCCTCCAGTCTCTAGGGAGATGAGAAGCCACCTCCTTGAGGTCTGGAAGTTTAAGAAAGGCTACAAGAGTGACATCAAGTGGATATGTCAGAAATGACAAGCAGAGCAAATCTGTAAATCAGATTAATTATTGCCCAAACTGTATTAGTGTTTTGACAGAGTGTTGTTTAAAGAAGGAAGCATACATGTTTTGTCCAGCATGGTCTGTTTGTATAGAACCAGCATGACTCCAGCTGATGACCTCTCCAATACTTTTCAGGTATTATTTTGCCCGTGGTTATTGCGTTGATTGTTATAACACTCTTGGTGTTTACTCTGGTGGGTTTGTATCGCATGTGCTGGAAGAGAGACCCAGGTGAGTAATGACCTTCTGCTTTGTTTCGTTTTGTTTTCCCAAAAGTATAATGTGATTTTGCTTAGTGCACCCTTGAACTTCAAACTGTCAAAAAGAGAGAGATTTTCAGTGATGATACCATGTCACCAGTCACAAAGAACAGGCAGATGAGGTGGAGAAATTCTCTGTATGCTGTTCAAAGTAAGGAGTGATGATAAAGATCTGGTAGTAGAGTGAATATAGATCAATTCTTTCTCATGAATAGCCTCAACCATGAGGACAGTGTACACTCCAAAGATGATGTGCAATAGGATGTATGGTCTGGGGCAGAGAGTAAGCAGAGGTGTGTGGAAACTTAGTTTCAAAGCCCATAATCTCAAGACTCATACTCTGGGAACTATTCTCCTCCTTGGAGGCTCAACTTCTTTCCAACACAGGTATCTCTGTGATGGTATTATGCACTTTATCCTTTCTTTAAAGAAACCTTCTATTGTAGAGTAGATTAAATTAATATTTTAGAGTAGATCATTTATAAAGATAAGACATTCCCTCATCTAATAGAGTCCATCATTATCAATTCTCTGTCATCATAATCAGCTTAGAACAGTACATTTCCTCAACTAATGAATGGATTATTCTAAACAAACCTCTCCCCTTCTTTCATGCTCCTTCCTTTTACATGCAGTTGTTCTCCTGGTTCAAGGGTGGTGCTGGCTTTTGAGTTGAAGTTTTGGCCACACCTCCCTCTGCTTACTTAGCTCAGCTATTCCCTCTACCACATGAATTCCAATTCATGAGCCATTCCCTGATGTCTGCCCCGGATGTGTTATGAAGTTCAGGTTTTTATACGTTTGTCCATAGTTGTCACTTTGGAACATCAAGCCTACCCACAACTTGGCTTTTAGAACACACATGCAACTTGCCCTATAGGATTCAATCAACAATAGTCTATTGTATCTTTGATAACTTACCACTTCGTTAAGTAGAACAGATTAGACTTTCAATTTTTACTCTTCCTGGTGTTGTAGAATTTTTACTTGCTCTGTACCTATATTACCTGTGAGCCCAGCAATAACTGCCCTACCAGAAACCACATACAACTCCACCTTGCATTTTGCCTGATAGACCTGGTCTAGACTTGGGCTAGCTTGTTAGAACCTATTCTCTATGGTAGGGTGCCATGCTCAGTCTCAATGCATGGGAGAAGGGCCTGACCTTGCATCAACCTATTATACCAGACTATGTTGACACCTCATGGGAGCCCTTACCAATAAGGAGGAGTGGACTTGGAGAGGGCTAGAGGTGGAGGGGAAGGGGGTGTGAGGGAGAACTGTAGTTGGAATATAAAATTTTTTAAAAATGGAAGAAAAGAAGATAAAGTTTTAAAATGGCCAGTGAAATAGATTTTCCCTTTATTTACATTCTAACTATTTTACTAACAAAATGCTACCTAAGCCTCTTAAGCTATTAAGAAGGTTTATTTTTTTTATGAGGTTTATAAGCTGCACAGTTACTTTCTTACCCCAGGACACTAATGAATTCGGTTTAGGCCAGCTACTGACTGTGCATCTCCCAGACAGTTGAAACAGACCATCACAGCAAAAGGAAGTTAGCAGACCAAAACAGTGGCATTCACTTGAGCTCGGGGTAGGAAATAAGAAAAAAAGAAACAGAAAACAATGTGCTTTCCTTTAGGAGTGAGTGAATGAACCTCATAATGTCTGAAAGATATTTTCTTATCCAGTTTCCAGTGGAAATAGTATTTGCATAAACCAACTCCCCACCCTCCACAACCCATTTTTAAGCCACCAATCCTATTTCTATTGGAATACAGTTGAAGCCTGTGGGTATTGAGTCTATGAGATGGATAAAAATTAATATGTTAAATCCACTTATAAGAAATACTGTGCACTGCAAAAGAGTTGTTTAACTGGAAAACTTTGAAAATGCATGAGGTTAAAAGTGACAGTTTCTATTAAAGCTAACTCTAAATGAATAAATCCCTGCCACTCTAAAGCGTTATTATGGAGATATATGATGTTCTAAAGCCAAGTGTGGAAATTAGATAATCAGCCATATCTATTTACTTACTGTTAGCTTTGTTTCCACACAGAATTTCCAGCATTTTTATCTTTAAATTAGCACCATTAAACACCTGCAGTTAATCACTCTTTAAGTATGTGGAGGAGACTTCATTACATTCAGAAAATTAATAAGCCCACTTTGCTCTCTGGAAGACAACATGAATCAGAAGTTGTAAATTAAGTTTATCTGAATAATGGTTGCCATAGATTGAGCTTTAACATGAGCATATATGCAGAATGTTTGTTGGCAGGTATCTATCTGCTACTTAACCCACTGTTACCATACACTAAGTAAAAACACTAAAACATGCATTCAAACATTATCAGCTCACCCTGAAGGGGGTGGCTATGAGCATCACAATAATATTGCAATTGACACTTGTAATAAAAACATATTGCTGGACCCTGCTAGTGGAGAAAGACATGGTTAGACATCATTAGTGAGCTGCATGAGGTACAACAGGTTAATCTTAGGTAATTAAAGATCTAGTTGGATGTCTTGGGTTGGACAACAGAAATAGAAGAAGCCTAAATGTTAATGTTATTCGAGGTCTTTATAAAAATAATGACACTCAAAGGCAGAAGAGATATACATCAGAGATTCATTCCAAGGATGAGCTAGATTAGACATGAAGAGAAAGTGCCATTGGATCCCAATGGAATGAAATATTATCATGAGCAAAAAACAAAGGAGTTAAACAGCCTAATATGCACTTCAGGGAGGCCATAAATGTACAACGTGGACCATTCTCATAGTGAACCCAAGAGGTTTCTATCAGACATTTGGAAAGCTAGCACCTTCAGTGGCACTTGCAAGGTCATTCTTGCAAGGCTGAATCATGGGGACACAACTCAACAGAAAGGATGACTCCACTCTCACTCGCCACAAATATTTGTCTCCCAAGGAAATGCAATCTGTAAAGGAAAACCGAAAAGTCTGTTCTCTGGTTGAAAAAGGCAACTGATACTTTGAAAGGAAGTTTCTCAAAGATATCACATATATGGACGTTTCTAGTGTCCGTGTGATAAACAAACCTACTGGTACATTTTCAGAGTAAAGTGATGCTATATGGTAAAAATTAAACCAGAACCAAGTTCCTTGTAGTTTGTTTAACAAGGACTGCAAGGGTTGAGTGTTAACCACGCCAGGGGGAATGTCTGTAGGTAACTAAAATTAAAACTGGTTCTACCAGAAAGCCCAGGTCTCACATTTAATAACAACTGTCTTCTCTTCTAGGCACTCCGGAAAATGGGAATGATCAGTAAGTTGGGCTGGGTCAATGCTTTTTACTCCCCAGACTTTCCAATTCTGTCATCTACATAGAGAACAGTTTTCAACTTTTCTTTGTTAGCCTGGATTGTACCCTTCATTTGTGATAGTGTTTTTTAATTTCACTGAATTGTAACTGTTATAAAAATAATGACTCTTGACTGCTTACCCTTCTTACAAGTGGAGGCTCTCATGAGTATCCAAGGGAAGCAGCTAGGTTTTGGAAAACAACATGGGAACATCTTTCTAAAATAGTTGGTTCAGACACTCCAATCTTGAGATCTAATAAAAAATGAAAGTCCCTGGACCTCACTGGGTGATCAGAAAGTTCACAAATGTTTCTGTGTCTTCTACCTCATAATTCAGAATTGAACACAGGGGCAATTTAGAAATGGCAACATTCATCTTCACGATGTAGGTGATGTTTAACTAAACTGATAATTGCTACCATGGCAGTGATGGGACCTACCATCTTACTTCAAAAACTACTGGAAAAGGCCCCATCACAAGCCTATGTTTGTAGAGAGGGGACATGGAGTTTGACATAGACTTTTTAAAAAAAAAAGCTTTGCCTGTGGCTTTCTTCACTCTGGGTCAAATCTGCTTCCTGGTGCAGGCACACTACACATGACTATGGTGTTAACTCAAGTATTTCTGTATCAAACAGGCCTCAGTCCGATAAAGAGAGTGTGAAGCTGCTCACTGTTAAAACAATATCGCACGAGTCTGGTAAGTTCCCATTTAGTTAGAAGACAAGTGGTTAGACGGCAATCTAACTACAGCATTGGGTTTTAGTTGCATGAAACACATCCCAAGGCAGAACTTAGGTAATAGTTTAGCTGAAGCTCTTGATAAATGCAGTCCCTGCTATGAAGAGGAGGTGATCCTTAAAATGTCGTTTTCATAAATTTGTGTTGCTTTTGGCAGATGTATGGCATCTAATCTAATGAATGGGTGGGGACTAGACACTTCCATTGTTCTACAGAAATGGCTAAAAGACCAGAAAATTTTACAGGGCTTCAAAAGTTATTCCTGATGTTTTGTTTCATTTTGGGGCAAGGGATGTGTGTGTGTCTATGTAGTCATTTGGAGTCATGATTTGTCATTTAAAATGTAAACAATGATCTACGTTATTTCACACAATCTTGACTAACTTCCCAAGAAACATAAATTTTCCTGTTGACATAATCTACTCTTTAGCTTTTAATTATTTATCCATAGTTTACTCAATTTGAAATGTAAAATTCTTGCAAAATGCAGATGTGATTTGTTTTAGATGTGTTTGTGTCAAGATCAATATCAAATAAGATGCAAGCTTGCTTTGAAAAATTGTTGGTTATTTTCCTTTTGTTCAAATAGACTGATATCTAAAGCACTGATATCACCAAACAGAGAAATTAAAAACAGTTTCTAAGTTTTATGAAGTAGTCCATATAGCTCTATTTTAAACAACAAGTTACATGGTTCCACTAGAGTGAAGAGCTATATAATAAACATTTTCAGTGTTAAAAACAATTTTGCAAAAAATAGGCTCCAAGTAATGTCATAGACCAAAAGCAACATATCAAAAGTTTAATGTTGTTTCATTGCCACGTAGGATACTCCAAGCAAAATAAAGTATCATAGAAAATCACATAACTAAAAGAGCCAGGGCCCCCAAAATAACACAGACATAATATGCCTTAATCCTCTCCCTTTCCCTCTTTACTGGAGATGGAACCCAGAGCCATGCTAATCAACTGCTCTCCCTTTAATAATATTCTCATTCCACCATTTTTTTTTAGAGAAATCTGGTTTTTATTCTTTAATCTTTAATATTCTTTGGTGCATGTGTTCTATATCCAATCTATTTTCTTTCTCAGGAGTAACCCTGTCTGACAAGGCAAAACAACAAAGCTCACCCATAGAGTAGTGTGAATCCAAGCCTAGGATTTTCCTGGCTACTCATCAGCAATGACTATATAGCAAAGCTTGTTCTAAAAATCAAAGAAAGGAGTGGGAAATTGAGTAAGCCACCTAAATATGTATTGGTTAGCACATGAGAGAGCCTGAACATGAGAATACCACTAATCATGAGAAATCCTCAAGAGTCTGCCTGTGTTGAGCCAAGAAACATCACAGTGACTCCATGTGCTGCCCTGCCTTCCTCCAGAGTTTAAACAAACCACTATCATCTCCTTGGCTCTGGAGTCATGGGATGAGGTGTTGTGCAGGAACTCCACGTGACATTTGCAAGGAGTTGACTATAATAAATAGCACTTGAAGTTCTCTACCACCCCATTTCTAGGAAAATGACAACTCTCATTTATATGTTTCTCAAGAGAACTCTCTCCCCCTCTCTCTCTCACACACACACACACCACCACCACCATCACTCCCCCTCCCCCATCAAAAAGAAATGAAAAAAAAACCTGAAACCTTCCTACAGTACTTTCATTTCTTCCCAGTTGGATTTGGGAGCCACACTGCTTTCAACATTATCCCAAAGGCCAATACAGCTGATTACCATTGGAAAATGCCTGGATGAGATAGAAATTGGTGGTTCAGAACAGATATTAATAACCTAGAATTAAGAAGCTAAGTATAATGACCTCCAAATGGTCCTTAGACTTCAGAATTCTGATTAAAGTCTATTGTGACCAGGACTTGGTGGCTTCAATGTTCCAACTAAATGTCTTCTGATTGCCCTTCAAGCTTATTCTAACATATCTTGTTCATAAAATCTTTCTCACCACACTTGTAAGAAATTTCATTTTTAAAATTATATTTGTTCCAGGACCAATGCTAATATCTTTCCTAAAATCTAACTAGAGTAGAGCCTAAAATCTAACTAGAATAGAGCCTGAAATGATGGAATTTAATATAATTTTATAAGTTTAACTCAGTTTTCTACCATCAGCATATAATCATTTCAAAAGATTTAAATAAAAAAAAAATCTTTTGATAAAGGAGACATCAGACCACTTACAAACCATAAATGAAGATTGTTATAGCTAAAATTATTTTCCTCAAGGTCTAAGGCATACAGTTTAATTAATATGCATCAGTGGTAATACAATGAAATTGGAGTTTCAGGAGCCACACATGGTTTGGGGAGCAGCCATTGTCTCACTATAGAATTTCGGGGATTTTATCTCAAAATAAAGTATGTCATTGTAGATGACAATAAACAAATGTTTCCAAGAAAGAAAAAGAAAAAAAAAAGACAAAAACAAAAAACCTTTAAAACCTCATACTTTCAAGGAGAATTCCAGTACATGCTAAATTTGTTTTGTTTTGTTTTCAGATGCTTTAGGGATTGTGATTAAATTTCTTGTCATTTCCCCAATGTTAACAGTTTCCTATCTCCAAATTCTCATTCTCTGGCTGGGTCACCATGCTCATCCATCCATACTCCCTGATTCTGTTGGATATGTTCTTTCTCAAGCAGTCTGCTACTGAAAGTATAGTTCACTACAGTCTTCTTTGCTCTGGACCCAAGAATACCTTCTGGATAAAACAGCACTTCAAATATATGGTGTGGGTATGCCTAGGAAAAGCCACCTCACCTAACAAGAGTCTATAATGAACCATCTAGCATCTCCCCATACTCTCACCTTCAGGGGGATATTTAGCAAGGGTCCTTTTTGGTAGAAATATATGATGGCCAAAGAAAGCTCATAAATCTTAACAAATAATTTCCAGGCAATACCAAAAGGGGAGCTGTGGTTTTCATGACAATCTTGCAGAAAAATTGAACTTTGCTTGAAAACAATGAAAATCCAGGGAACTTCATTTTCATCTTTCATCTCTCTGAGCACATAGATCAAACCTCTCCTCTGTTCTCAGGCGAGCACTCTGCACAGGGGAAAACCAAGAACTGACAGTGTGATGGATCCTGCCCATACCTGGGCAAGAAATATGTAAGTTTCCTAATTACATTCACAGATATACTCATTAATTCCTGTTTCCTTAGCCGGCTATACCTCAGATTATTTTATAGACTTTTAAACCCTGAACATTTAATGGTTGGTGTCAATGAGAACATCACTGACTATTTGTCTAAAAACAAACTATAAGAAAATCTACCAGAAAAAAAAATGATTCCTGTCTTGACTGTAGAACATTTTTCCAGTATACCCTCCTCCACCACCTGCCTAAGGAATGAGACAGATTGCTCTCCCTGATTATGGAAATGCTTCCTTGGAGTTCAGTTCTCCTGGATTAGGCAAGGTTCCATAGGGTAATGACAACTCACAGGAGACATGGACAGTGGTGACAGACCTGTAGTTTATTGTAGGGAAGGACACCATACAGAAGCTGCATGGGGTTAAAGATGTGCCTCCCTGCCATAGGCATACTCAGAGCTGGTGGTCCAGCCCCCATGGAAGACCTAACATTTTCCTACCATAGGAACCATATGCAATCATCTTCCTGCCATAGGGGCCACATCCAATCATCTTCCTGCCATAGGGACCACAACCAGAGGTGCTTTCTCTCTAGATCTAGGAACCACTGCTATATGCACAAAACTGATCCAACAGGGTCACCAAAACTGCAGTCTCACTTAAAGTTTCTTAATTCCCTACTAAACACAATGACTTGTTTTTGTTATATGACCAGCTGAGGAACACGGCCTCCCCTCTGGTCAAGGAGATCAGAGAGAAATGAAAACTCTCACACTGCAATAATTGTTCACCCAAAAGCAATGGAAGTCCTCAAAAGCATTAATTACATGTGACCTTTTAATCAAAATGCTCCTGGCCTGGACCAGAAGCCAGTGCAATGCAGAGACAGTTCTTATCTTCCACCAAGGCTGTTCTGGAATTGCTCCATATGAAGTTGCCTTTGGTTTTCTGAGAAGCAGACTTGAAGACTTTCTGATGTTGATTCAGTTCTTGCAAGAAGCACCAATTAAATGATGTTGCAGTTAATGTTTGCTATTTTATAGACTATATAGAAAATGTATTCTTCGGAATAAACAATGAAAAGCAAATGAACCAATAAGCCCATTTTTGTTTGACACTGGCCTGGTCAAGCTGGTCATCACTCAGAGTTAGCGTGTCTGAGGTGAGGAGTGTCAGGTCCCACCTCCATCACTATGTAAAACAAGATAGTGTATACTGCACTAGGGAGTACAGACAGGAATATCTGAAGTTCAAAGTCATGCTCACACATATGACACATAGTAAGTTTGAGGCCAGAGTGCTCTACATGAGGCACTGCCACAAATCCAGAGAGAGAGAGAGAGATTAGATGATAGATACATAGATAGTAGATACATACATCAATAGATGATTGATAGATAGATGATAGATAGATAGATAGACAGACAGACATATAGAGGTCTGTCAGCATTGTTCCTGTGTCCTTCGAATTGTCATTATACTATGCAGCCTTGCCTAACTCAGGTGCAGGAGGACTGGATTCACTAGGGAGTATCACCCAAATGAAGGAAGAGTGGACTGTGTCATTCCTTAGGAATGCCTGAGTCGGGGAGAGATTCGGGGTGGGGGGATTATCCAACCCCCATTCAACAGGAGGCCTCAACCCTACACAAAGAACTGTAGGCAATAAAGGATACTAAGAGTGGGACAAATAATCTTTCCCAAGATAGAGCACACCAATTGGTTATCCAATACCAGTCAGCCCTGAAGGCATGCACATAAGTTGTTTATAGAGACTGAGCCAATTGTACTTACATATTCAGTGATACATATATACTCATATACACATATGCATTTAACAACAATTAGTTCGAAAATAAGCCATGGATTTGAAATAGAGAATAGGATAGGGAAGGTTTGGGAGGGAGGGAAAGAAGGGGCAATGATGTAATCATATGATAATATTTAGAAACCAAAGAAGTATGTTTTCCTATGAGTCTGGGGAGAAGGCAGAGTGTGTTAAGTGTTCCTGCACTAGCGTCAGGACATAATGGATTCCTGGGACCCATGTAAATGTGTGATGAATGGAGCAATCCCCTTGCAGTCTTAACTCTGAGAAAACAGACTGCTCCGGAAGCAAGCAAGCTAACTAGCCCTAGGTTAAGTTGAGCTCAAGTGATAAAGCATCCCTCAGTACACCAGGGTGATCAAGGCAGACACCATCTATCTTTGTCCTCCACATACACCCATTTACGTGCCAACATGCCTAAACAGATACAGCCACACCATACAAAACATATGTATGTATGTATGTATGTATTCCTGGGCTATGATTTCTTGTCTTCTGATTTGCAAAGCTATACAACTCTTGTTGCTCTTCTGAATAATTTAAGATTGCATAACCATATTCTGAAGAATAAAGATCAGAAAGGCGTGGGAAGAAACAAGTTTGACATCTGCCAATTGTACCATCTATTTGTGTTACATATTTCTGTCACTGTACTTAGAACTTAATAACCAGTGAGTAATTTCTAGGTTGTCAACTCTAAATCAGATATCAACGCAGAGATTCATAATGAATTGCAATGAGTTCATCACAATTAGGGAAGGAAACGAAGAAGTTTCTGAATCTGTATGCAACAACAATGCACAAACAATCACTCACATTACAATGTTTCACCTGAAATGAACATTCTAGATATATTTAGTGCTTTCTGTTTCATTGCTGATCATCTACCCTTTTTGCAGGTAATTACATTTAATATGAATTGACAGGGAAGACAGGAATTCCAAAAGATTTTTGAGCTGTGATCTTTGACTTCCACAAAGCATTATCTACTGGGAGAATAAAATCTTACGTAAGAAATAGAGAACAATTACAGAAAGATGCTGACTCACCCACTCAGAGTTATCCTAACACCTGCTATGCTTATAACAATAGGAAGGTTGACAGGGCTCCAGAATTTAGTACCCTTACACTGCAGATTTAGTGTCACATTGGGGTATTTACTAGTCAGGGTGCTCGAGAGGAACAGTATCTATAAAACAAATATATATTAAAAGGGGAAAGGGGATTTGTTCCATTAGCATACACGGTGTGGGCGGGCTACTCCAACAATGGCTGCCTTCACATTTGAGCCTGGGAACCCAGCAGTTCAGTGTGTGAGGATGAAGGCCTGGGGGACTCCTGATCTGCAGGCCATATTTGATGCCTAAAGAAGCAGGGCTCTGATATCAGCGAAGGGATGCAGGGGCAGCTGCAGCATGATTAAGGCAAGCAGGCAAAAAGCACAGCTTTCTCTCTCAGCTTACCTTTTATTTGTACTGCTACCAGAAGGTGGGACCCCGATTTATGAGTGGTTCTTTCATATCAAATAAGAGAAATCCTCACGGGTATCCCGACTGGCTTATCTCTTAGTTACTTGATTCCAGACCCAGTCAGATTGATGACCGAGATAACCACCATAGAGGCCTTCATACTTACGTTAGCTTCAACCTTTCCTCTAGAGTTCACTTTGATCCCAGCTGTGAGAGCAAAGGTGATTTTATCCTCAAAATAGTTGGCACCATACTCAAAAATAGCTTTTTGAAATTTTGTAATTGATTTAAAAATCTTGTGCGTAGGTGGTGGTAGCGCACGCCTTTAATCACAGCACTCGGGAGGTAGGGACAGGGGGACCTCTGTGAGTTCAAGGCCAGCCTGATCTATAGAGTTGAGTTTCAGGGTTCCAGGGCAGCCAGGACTGCACAGAGAGAACCTGTCTCAAAAAAAAATCAAACAAAAAAATTCTTATACTTACTTTTGAATGCCACTATAATCAAAGAACCAGGGCTGTGTGATGTGCCATCGTGCACATTTTTCTTTACATGTTTGTACTCCTTGGCAGGTATAAATGTATTCAGTCATCATTTACTGAGTCTATTCTCATATAAGGAGCAGCTAGCAAAGGTGGCATGACTTCAAGATATGCATTGTCATCACACAGAGCTCCTGCTACAGCCAGCATCTTTATTGGTATATGGGTTCCATAGACATTTTTATTCATACACTTTGACCATTTATATATATATATATATATATATATATATATATATAAACATATATATATATGTTTATATACATATATATATATATATATACATATTTATATCCTACATCCAACCCTGTCTCCTCCTCCTTCTTTCCTCTCCTTCCTTCCCTAAGACAACCTCATTTTTACTTTTTGTGTCATCTATATAACACAAAATGTTCACAAAAAAGAGCAGGCGTGCACTTTGTCTTTCTGATTCTAGCTTATTCCATTTGGTGTGTTTATCCCATTTGCATCCATCTTCTTGTTCCCTCTCCAGTAGATTCCCATCTCCCTTCTGCTCTCCCATGTGCTCAGCCACCTGGGATGCTCTGCAGAGACATCAATGATGCCCTCCCCTACTTCTGCACCCTAAGACTTAGCATAGACTTTGGGCACCACTCCCAGGACATAGAAACCATGAACCTGGGGCTTTTGCTGTGGGGTACTTGTCTAGCTGCACAAAACTTGGGGTTCAGTACCTAGCACTGTTTGAGAGGAAATCAAGATGTGTCAATTGACTGGATGTGGGCTGGGAAACAGTGGGAACAGTATTGATGATGCCACCCTCACTTCTGGTCTGTGTGCTTATGTGAATCGAGACAATGATAGCAGAGATGGGATTATGAAATGAGGGCCAGTTGGAAAAGAAACTCATTCTCTGCTCAGAATGGTCACACTGAAGTGTGTGTGACATTCATGTGACCACAGTTTATGACAGTAACTTAAGGAAGTCACTAACACTTGTTGCCAAGACCTAATCTTCCTCACTACCACTGAGTTCTTCGCTTCTTTAGATCTGAGCTTTGGTTGTTTTTGTCGTTCACAGGTTTAATCTTCAGCTTCTAAGTTTCAAGGGTGGAAAGGAGAGAGTCCCGAGGAACCAGTCCCAACTCACAGTCTCCTCACCAGTCTACACCAGTTGCCCATCCCAGTAAAGGAAAGACATACCACAACCTGACAGAAACATAAAGAGTTCTAGATATCTCCTTTCTAAGATACAGAAAATCAAATGACTCTGGTTTTCAGGGACATTTCTAGGAGGAAATTTTGTGAGCAGCAACCCTTCAGCCCAGGACAGGTGGGCTCCCAGGAGACAAGCCATAGCTGAGTTTAAAGTTTCCAGGGTTTATTGCCTTGATCCATGGAGACCTGCCTATCTGCTTTGTGTTCTTATATTAGTGTTAGTATTTATTGTTTCTCCACTATGTTAATGCAGGGAGATTTTACAAGTGTGTTGTTAGATACTAAGTAGAAATCACATCATGTTCCTCTGTACATACAGGTATGTTACTCATGTTTTCATGTGTTACTTTTAATAAATAATGGCTGTACTCAAGACTATGGTATGGCGCTGGCATTCTTGTTACATGGCATGAATGACAAATGAGAAAAACCAACTTGTTTCCCTTTACTGCTGGCTGATACTTCTAGTCTTTTTTGTGGTTTTTACAGGTGTTTTCTTTCACTGAAATGGATTTGAACCCTTTCAGCTTTAGAATCATACAGTCATTTAGATTTTGCCTTCCTGATAGTTGAGTGTACCTAATCAAAAATATCAAGCAAGCATATATACAATTCTGATGGAAATGTCTTTATTTTTCTATGAGAAGGGTAAAAATGGGGTGGGAAGAAAAATTAAAAAGGGAGAACAAGTATCTGTGCTACATAAGCTTTCACCTCGGGGACACCTTTTATGTTAAAAGACTCTAAAGTGCTAGACACTGGTTGCATCACACCCAACAGGGGGCATTTGTCTTTATTCCAGATTGCTCTGATGAGCTCCTCAGCAAAAAGTCTTGTTGAATATATGTATAGTAAAGAAACAAACTCTTTACTTCAGCTTTAATGTCTTGTCTCTAACTTTTATAAACATTGTTATTACTAACTTGATCATTCTAGATTAAGACCTGATCATAAAGGTTTAAACTAACAACCAAAGTGTCAAATATTTATTAAAGGTCAAACTGATAACAGTGAATTTCTGGAAATAGTCAGGCAATTCTGTAGCAACAGTCTACAAAGTAAACTCAACTCTGTATTTTAATAAACCATCCTCAGTGTTGGAAATGATAAAGTATTTAGTTTCAAGTCAATAATATCATAGCTGAAAGTTTTTTTAAAAAATAGATGATATATTGATTTATTTTAATGCCTAATATTATTATAAGGTTTTAGTAATGACATATAGTTCAGATGTCATTGATCAAAAGCAAAGTCTTTCATATATTTGTGCTACATGATAATATGAACTTATTTCTATCAACAATCCAAACATCAATAAGAGTTAAATAACAGGTGTTGTGATCTGAGAACACATGGGTGCTACTGGCTGACACACTAACTACTATTGCTGTCAAAACCAGACATTTATATCCCCCTTTGTTGAACTATAATATCACATTGCATATGGCTAACACATCCTTACCTCCCTATCATCTATATGTAAGTCTATGAGAATCAGCTTATGACATCCTCTAAACCTCAGTGATGGACATGTTTATTTTTTCTGGCTTTTCTCTGACAGACTTTACTTGTAAAAAGATTTTATAGGTGATGAACACTGAGTACAACTCAATGGTACAGTACTTGCCTAACATGCATGAAACCCTAAGTTTGATACCCATAATAAATAGATGTAGACAGATGATGATAGATAGATGATAAAGAGAGAGATTATAAAGAGACAAAAGCTAGAAACATAGATATGATATCATGATACTGTAAAATGAAAACAAAGTATGTTTCAAAAGTTATAGTTTGGCTGCCAAGCATGATTGTACATGTCAGTAATGCCAGGGCTTGGGATGCTGATGTCCCAGGCTATGACAAAATGCTGAAGGTGTACACACACATATACAAGTTGTATTTTAAGAGGTCATACAATTTTCTGAATTGCCAGCTTCCATTCTCTACCAATTCCAGGCTGAAAAGATTAGGAAAAGACTTATATCTACATTGACTGTAGATATAAGTGCTAAATACATGTGTTGACTGTTTTGTGCTGAATTTGTTCCCTATATATACAGCATGGCATCTGCTTATGCATTTATATTACATTAAGTACTGTTGTATTATTATCTGAAAATAATTTTAAGTGTATGGGAAATATGTAGTGTTTATATGCAAATATGTCATCATTTTATACCAAAAAAATTAGTTATCCACAGATTTTTTTTCTCCTGTGATACCCTTGGGGATTGTTAAACCAGTGTGAATATTATATTAAGGGTCTGCTATGATCTCAATCAGTGATTGTGTAATTTTTACATCACTACACCAATACATGAGATGAGTCAACTTCTAAAGAGAAAAGCTGACAGTCCTTGACCACTTGGTACCATTTGACTGTGTCAAAGCAACACATCATGTCAGAAAAGCATAAGGAGGGATACCTCAGCTCTCATGGTCAGGAGACCAAAGAGAATGAACCCAGAACCACCTTCAAGGGCATGGTCCCAGTACCTCCCATTAGGTCTTAACTGCTAAATATTCAACCACCTCCCAAAGCAGCAAATTGAGGACCACACCTGTAACACAGGAGTGATTGTGGAATACTGACAAAACAAACCATATCAGGGCTAATATAGAAGATAATCACCACATGATGAATTGCACCTCTGATATGTACCCTGAGCTAAGAATCTGGGATGGAGAATCCCCAGAATTGTTCCTTAAAACTTCTCTGGGAGCAGGATGTGGTGGCTATTGTGCGTGATCATTGAACTTGGGGCACTGAGGCAGGAAGATAACTGAAGACTCAAGGCTAGCATGGGCTACATAGTGTGTCCCAGGACAGTTTGAGCTACAGAGTGAAATCACAGCAGAGAACAGGAGGAAGAGTAAGAAACGGGGGAGGGGTAAGGGAAAGAGAGGTGATTACAAAAGGGAAAAAAAATTCTCTAGGAACTTTTCTCATCCCATTTAAAGAGCACGTTTTAGGACTTTGTGGGCTTGAACATATTTATTTTCTGTTCTGACATACATTTTTAAAGGCAGAAGTAATTTAGATAGACCATGGAAAAATACTCAGTAGTATATTCCTGGACTTGAAATTAAAAATTCTACCAAAGCAAGGCAAACATGGTATGTGCTCAGTCATAACTGGATATTAGATGTCAAACAAGAGATAACCAGACTACAATCCACAGCTACAGAGAAGGTAAGTAACAAGGAAAAGCCTAAGACGGATTCAGGGATCACACTGTGAAGGGGAAATGATGGGATCTCCTGGGTAAACTAGGGACGTATGGGAGCGGACGGGGATGAGAACGTGAAGTAGTGGGAAAGGGATGGTCAAGGTGGGGAGAGATGAAGTGGGAGAGCAAAGAAAGAGATAACTTGATGGAAGAAGACTTTATGGAAACTTTATCTGTTATTATAATAAAGCAACAACCTCTCAACACAAAGAAAGCTCTGTGAGGCCAAAAGAAGTGCTAAGAAAGAAATGGGTGCTGCATGCTGTGCGTTCTCAGTCATCATGTACAGTCTGGAAATGACTGGAGTCCTACAAACTATGCCTAAGAATATTCATTCCCAGTAGAGGTGCTAGAATAATGCAGAGTGAGGAAGTCTCTGGGTAACCCCAAACACAACTTAATAGCAAGGCTTGAAAGAATTAAGTCAATCCACTGAACATTTAGCAGATTTCCTGAATTCTGACAATCTTTATCTAGGCGACAAGATACAACACACACACACACACACAGACACACACACACGCGCGCGCAAAATGCAACAACATAAATTTCAGATATCATCACACCTAATTTCAGATATCATCAAGTAATGGAAAAATACCCAATAGTACATCCCTGGACATGAAATAAAAAATTCTACCATAACAAAGGCCACTAATAATAACTTGAAAGCTGCCAAAGACTGTTTTAACATTTAGAAATGGGTTAAGTAGACATAAATATTTTAAATTGTTTTTTAATAAAATGAAATTTTATCAAAGTAATACTAAGAAATATTGACAGTGCTATGAGCCAAGTTTACACCATTGACATTTTGGAAGTGCTGTGTGTGTATGTGTGTGTGTGTGTAAGAAAATAAATGGACTGTGATTATTATTAAAATTAGTCAATAAAGTAAATTCACAATCAAATAAAAAGATAAACATTTCACAGCTGATTAGAAGAGATTTGTCTTAACTAAAACAACCAACCAGGAAAAGATGTTTGAAAAGGAATAAATAAATAATCCTCATTAACATCAATGCCAATGCTATTAACTAAATATTAGTAAATCGAACACATGTTTTAAAAATTTCTGGTGATAAGATTAATCCCAGAGATCCAAGTGTCTACTCTTTGAAAATCAATCATTATGACTCAGCCTTTTAAGGAAGTAAAGAAGACAACACTGTGCTTTATCTCAATAGACCAAAAGGGGCAGCTGAAAAAATTTCAGTATTCACTCATGATAAAAAATATTATCAAATCAGGTTATTGAGAATTATCATAAAAGAAAAGAGCTAATTTATGAGGAACCTAACCCTTGCACAAATGTTTAAAAGTCTAAATTATTTCATCTCAAATTAGAAAAATAAAGAGGGCGCTCACTTTTATTTCTTGTTCCAGACATTATTGTTGGGAGAAGGAGGAGTCAAAAGGACTAAAAATATGCTGTGGAGAAATGACTTGATATGTATTACCCACTAAAATTAAATCAAGAATATATAAGCAACTTAAAAAGATCCATGAAGAGAAATGAGAGTAAAGTAGTAATAAACCTTTTCCCACAGAGAAAACCCTGGGACAAAACACACTTACTGATGGGTTCTACCATTATTTAAAGGCACTTTGCTGTAAATAACTTGAAAATAAATAAATAGATAGATAGATAGATAAATAAATAAATAAATAAATAAATAAATAAAGGCATCATGCAACCAGGTCAGTATAACCACTCTGACAAACACTGCCCCAGACCCAAAGTCTATAGAGTTAAAACCTCCATTCTGAAGCCAAGGAGCTTCACTTTGGATGTTGTACCTACATTTTTTCTACATTTAATAATGTATCCACACTTACACCCACTTACATATATGCATGTACACATTATAGGCTGGGATCTACACATGAGGGATAACGTGTGATTTATTTTTCTTTCTGAGACTGGGTGGCTTCAATATTATACACTCCTCCGAAAATTTTACATTTTCATTTTTCTTTAGAACTTGACAACATTCCATTTTATATATGTCCCAGATTTTCATTATTTATTCAGAGAGGTTGCATTTCCTTTTTACATATTAAACAGAGCATCAGTAAACATAGAGAGTGAAAATTTCTCTGTGTCTACTAAACTTTTAAGGAAGGATAGCATTAATAT